TGAAGAAGGGTCCCAAACCGAAACGTCAACTTTCCTGCTCCTCTGATGCTGCCTGGCCTGCTGTGTTCCTCCAGCTCCACACTGTGTTATCTCTTAATAAATGCCCAGTTGTCCATAAAAATTACCTTTAGCCAATCCCCATCTTTGGACATGTAGGATTTTTGGAAATCTGACTACATCTAAACAAGGTCTTTTGATACGTCCTCCATCAAACTATGCTTGAAATATTTATATGTACTGTAAAGCAATTTTACATCTAAAGTGTAATCAAATCATGTGTGAAATGTTTTAATTGCTATCAAAATATAAATCCAATTTGCTGGAATGGTTTCTTGCACTCTGTGAAGGAATCCATTAATCTAATTTGAATGATGTCTTAGTTTATGATTGTAATCATTAGGGTCAAATATTAAAAATATTGTTTTTGATTTTAATAATTTTTCCATTTGTAGCATTCTATGAAAATTCTATCATCTGCTATAAATTTCTTTAAGAATAAGGTTTGCTGTATACCAAAGACTTAAATGAACACACTTTAAAGAAAGCAAAAGCACTATGGAACGTACTGCTTTGATATTGTCAACTTGTCCTTGTATGTACAGGCTAATAATTATGCTGTGCTGTTAGAATTAGAATTAATAATGACTAATAAATATATACTTTTGTCTCAATGTGCTGTTTACAATCTAGTACTGTGTATTAGAGGCTAGATTGTGATTCTCAGGGGTTTTGAAAACATTAACTACTGTGGTATCTTCCAGTGATTGTAGAAATCAAATATTTACTCTTAACTTGTAACTATTGTGAAAACCTATGTTACCTCGTGCTTTTTTTTTTCATATTTTACCTTATTTGTGGGAGTCTATTTGAGCAATTGACTAGGAAAATGAGAATGCCAGTAATCAAGATAAAATTCACTCAGCTTTGAAACTGGTTTTAAAAGAAGAATTGGAGTAAATACATTTCCAATTGAGTTCAGATAAAAGGTCATTGACCTAAAACTTTAATGCTGTTTTTTTTCTCCACAGATGCTACCAGATTTGCTGAATAATTCCACTATTTTTTAATCTTAATAAAAAATGAGTAAGTTCCATCCTAAAAATGTAAATTGAAGAATGACAAAAAAGGGAACATATTCATGTCGATCTTTTGGTTCCCTGTGATAAGACATGAAAAAGAAATTAAAAATAAGCTTCCACAAATAAAGCTTCTGGGATTTCTTTGTTCTAGGATAGTTTATTTTATATGTTGACAAATATTGAATTTTGTGTACATCTTTTAAAATGTCATTTATTCTAACGGGTTAGAACAGGAAAATATACTTCTCAACTCAGGAAAACCACTTCACCTTATGCAAAGCTTCAACTATAAAAATGTGATTTATCCCTTACCTCCATCTGTCTGTTTTGTGTTCACATTTCTCAATTGTACTGGTGTCATGTGACTGGTCACTAATGGTTTACATTTTATAACAACAAGTTGTATTTAACCATCTGTACCTTTAAAGGAATAAAAATTAAAACATAAGATTTGATGATATTGATAATAAACTAAAAGTTCTGCCTTTTCCCCCCAATTTCACCCTTCGCCTATTTGTATAAATGTGTTCTAGTTTTCCACAACAAAGCATAGTAGATGTTGACAATCTGAAGTAGACGGTCTCAGTATTAAACTTTATGATAAATGTGTTCTAGACCATGCACCCATTATATTTTACCACAGCTTTATTTTTAAAAAAAAAATGTTTTTTAATGGAGGTGATATGGGCATAGAATATGATAACGTTATTGTGATAACTGTTTTCATGAGACCATTATTGACTGCTGCTATGCAGTTGGGTATCTTGCTATGGCTTTTCTGTTTTCCAGTTAAGCCGCCTGACAAAACATGGGCAAATATACTTTGTAACAGATACACATCAACACATGAAACTCCATTTTAAGTGAGATGTTCATATCCTTCCACCAATGTGAACAGTTTCCACATATCCATTTGTTCTGATCTTTTGTGATTTGAGAATAAGTCATAGAGGTATTCAAACATTCCTCTGAGGAAAATGGTCTCAACTTATCCAGTGTTTGTAAGTACCAACTCTTCTAATTTCTGAAACAGCTTGCATGACGCCTTTTTGTGCCATTTTAAATACCTTGTATCTTTCTGCAGGATTGTAGTTGTGATTGGACCAGTGTTATGTGCAGACAGATTCCTTGCTTTTCTCCTTTTATACTCGTTTTGATAAACTGCAGGATGACATACCCTTTATTAAACACTTTAAGTCTCTCTTACCATGTTCAGTTATTTATGCAAGTTTATGTCTAGGTCCCTCTGCTGTTGCACAACCTTTAGATTTGAGCTATGGGTTGGATCGAAGGGTCTTTTTCCACGCTTGTGACTGTGTCATGCCCAGGAGGCTGGAAAAAAAATCCTTTAACTTTCCTCCCTAATAGCATTGTTGGTGTACCTACACCAAATGGACTGCAGTGGTTCAAGAAGGAAGCTTGCTGCCACTTCCTCAAGGACAACTAGGGATGATTAATAAACGCTGGCACAGCTAGGGATGTCCTCATCCTGTAAGTGAATGAACGAAAAAAAAATTGCTTGTTTATTTTTAAAATGAACTCGTGCTGGAATGCAATATGACCTCTATCAATCACATAATGTGCAAGTTGGATAAGGTCTAGAAATTTCCAGTGGACCAAGTTACATAACACTTTTGTGGAGTTTCACACCTATAATTTTCCTGGTGGGATAGTGAGGGCACAGATCTTCCTTTTCCAAACCTGAACTGATAGCAAAGGGAGAATCATCAATCCTTGCTTTATAATCCTTGAAGTGGTATTAATAGCCCCACAATTATTTCCTATGTACACAATGGCTTCAGCCAGAGACATCAAAGGTGCCTCTTTAGGTTGTGAAACTGTTTCATCCACGAACCCTGTCACATGACCAAAACTTGTATTGTCTTTGAATAACTTTAATTATACAGTTCTGAGCCCTTATCTGACTGCTTTTAACCATCAAACCAGAGGTCAAAAAGCAGCTACAGGCTCAGATAAAGTTGCCTTTGTGTATCAACCTGTTTTCAAGCTTGACGTCCGTGAAGGATACTATATTTCCCTGAAAAGTGAACTAATTCCAGTCTAGAAGGATCATATTACATTGCCTTCAATGCACCCACCTGCATCCAAGCTCCTACAGAAAGGGATTCCTCAAAATCAGCCCACTGCAAGAATCTTCACTGGACATTAATTTACTGGACTCTTAATTCATGTGACTTAATGCCCATTTTTAACGTTATTTATAATGGTTGTTTTCCCCTTCTTGTTCTTCCTCTTATGCCTGTGAATGTGTATGTTGATAAATATTCTTCTCCCCACTTTGTTTTAACCCTCAACTGTTTTCCATGAGTTACTTAAATTGGATTTCACAAACTAGGTTTGGGGAAACACCATTTATGATTTCAAAATGGAAGATTTTTTTTTATATAAAAAAAATTCTGCTTGCAGACCGAACGACCAGGAAGTAATTGAATACATCTGTCTGGTTTCTTCATGACATCTCTTTAGTTTCTATGTCAGTATTCTTTCTACCAAAATGAGTAACTTCAAACTTTTCTGTAACAAATTTAATCTGCCATTTATCTGACCATCCCACCAAACTTGTCTGTGTCCTTTTGAAATTGTGCAGTAACCTCCTAATGGTTCATAATGCTTCCAAACTTAATATCTTCGGCAAATTTTGAAATCGTGCCAGGTACAAGTTCTTAATGAATATCAAAAAAAGCAAATGGTCTTAATACTAATCCCTGGGAAATTTCACTGTCAACTTTCCTCCAGTCTACAACTCTGTTTCCTGTCACTCACCAAATTTTGTATCCATGTTGTTACAGCCATTTGTTGTAGTTTTGCAGTGCATTGTTTTTTTTTTTCTGAAATGATGTACACATCAACACCCATTGCCCATATCAACCTTGTTTGTAGCTCAGCAAGTTAGTGAACATCATTTGCCCTTAAGAAATCCATGCTGACTTTTCTTAACTATTCCATTTGCCTAAGTGGTTAATTTTGTTTCAAATTACCATTTATTAACCTCCGTGGTGGGGAAGCTTTAAGATGACTGATTTGTGAATACTGAGTTTATCTTTACATCCTTTTGGTACAACGGTATAATGTTTATAACTGACTCTGAAGACTTCAGGAAGATTGGAAAATTATGGCCAATGTCACTGCAGTCAAAGATATCTATGGATTCGTACTGTTAAATGTACAAGTCAGCCATTAAACAACTGTGGTCTCTGGTTAAGAATTTAATGCCTCAATGATTCTAAAGACCATTTAGCAGCTTAATCTTTATGTTCCCTGTCTGCACGCAAATAAATCTCCCTTTTAAATGGATTACTGGTGTTTGTGTGCATGTTTAGTGTGTTCTTATGTTTTTCTCAGGGTAAACAGGCTTTACCTTTTTTACATCAAAAAATCTTTTAATTAGTTCCTTCATTTTCTAGTGAACTGTATTTTACTTGAAGTTTGGAAACTGCACTTTTTTAAAAAAAAAAAATGGTTGCAACTTACTGGGAGGAGTTTGTAAAAAGGGGAGCTGATCCCCCTTGCTCACCTGGTGTCAACATTATAAAAACACTTTTGGACTTCCATTTACTTTAGCCACCAATTTCTCTTCATACTTTTTCATTTGTTTTTTCAGTTCTTTGAACATGGAAGGTGCAACCTTATTTACAATTTGCATGATCCACAACTTATTTGTCATAAAGCACACTTTTTCTGCTTCATCTTAACTCCTTTTATCATCCTGCAACCACAGCTTGTTGTTTTGTTAGAGATTTGTTTGCGAATATTACAATTTACCTGGACTAAACATATTCCTAACCTATTGAAAGTGGCTTTCTAGCAGTTTTTTTTTATTCTTACTCTGGAGTCGGCCAGATTTGTCCAGGGACCTCCACTGAAAACTGCCATACCTTTTTGGGAGGCACTTTTACAGAAGCAGTGGATAAAGAGAGGGTAAGGCTGAGGGCCTTCACTTTTATGTTCTGGGAGTAGAAACGGAGCTGCAGGTGCCACCTCTACTTAGCTGCTTGGTAGCAGTCTGTGAGAAAATTCTAAGAGTGACATAAGAAAACCAAGTGCTTTGGTTGGTGAGAAGCTGCTGTTGGAAATGAGTTTAAGTAGATTAAAACTAGAAAAATGTATCATTTATAATGAAGTAGTTAAGGTTAAATCAAGTGAAAGTCAAATAAAGTTGTATGAAGTAAAGTTACTGGTAAGGTTATACTTAACCCAGGGCTAACAGATAATTTCAGTGTTACAGAATGGCAGGTCACGTGGGCCAAGTGGAGTGTACGTCCTGCAGTATGTGAGAATTCATGATCCAGTGAAGGGTGCAGAAGAGCATGCTAGGAGCAGCGCCAGGCATACATAAAAATGAGGTCAACCTGATGGGAGTTATGAACCAGGCCTACATGCATGCCAAATACCGTAGCAAGTGATAGAGCTAAGCATTTCTATAACCAATGAATGAAATCTACCACATCCAATCATGAATGGTGATTGGTAGTCAATTAGCTCACTGGAGTATGAGGTTCTACTAGTATCCCCATCCTCAATAGCAGTGGGGTAGGGAGAGACCAGCACATAAGTGCAAAAGCATTCCTAATAATCTTCACCCAGAAGTGCCAAGTGGATGACCCATCTCAAGCTCCTTCAGAGGTCCCCTGCATCACAGATGCAAGTCTTCAGTCAATTCAATTCAATCCATGTGATAACAAGAAATGGCTGGAGGTGCTGGATGCTGCAAAGACTAATGCCCTTGACAATATTCCAATAGTACTCCTGAAGGCTCTGTTACAGAATTTGCCAAGCCCCTAGTCAAACTGTTGCAGTACAACTACAACAATGGCATCTACCCAACTATGTAGAAATTTTGCCCAGGTATGTATAATATATAAAAAAGATAAATTCAACCTGGTCATTAGCCATTGCATCAGCCTATTCTCAACACCTTTGATCATTTACTGATGGTGATTAACAGTGGTTTACAGCCACACTTGCTTAGCAGTTTGCTCACTGGCACTCAGTTCCTGACCTCATTTACAGCCTTAGTTAAAATGTGTACAAAATAACTGGACATGTGAAATTGTTCGTTTTGGAAGAGAGAACAAAAGAACAGGGTATTAGTTAAATGTAGAAAAACTGCTGTAAAGAGACTTTGAGATTCTTTTGTACAAAACAGAGAAAACTAGTACATAGGTGCAGCTAATGGAATATTTGCCATTATTTCCAGGGAAGTAGAGTGTAAGAACAGGAACGTCTTACTACAATTGTACAAGGTGAGTTTTGGTCCTCTTATTTAAGGCAAGATGTCATTTCATTGGAGGCAGTTCACAGCAAGTTCAGTGGCATGATCCTTCGTATGTTGGGATTTTCTTGTGAGCAAAGACCTGGGCCTCTACTCAATGGAGCTTAGAATAGAGGTGATTTCATGG